TGAATGAAAGACTGAAAGACCTGATGCCTTTCCATAGCTATCATTGTTTCTCCAAGTTCATAGAGTTTCCAGAGGCATGTGGTTTAAGAAGTGGATGCCACTCCTGCTTCCCAACCTGTTTTACAACTGGGAGCTCCACCAACCACTGTCCACAATAGGAAGCCATTCTGATATTTGATATCCCCATGCCACAAGGTTCAGCCTCATAGCAAACCCATGTTACCTCATATAACACCTTGACAAAGTGATCTGCAAAATGGAAGAATGTCCCTCCAGATATAACAGCACTAGTCTCATTTAGTAGTGCTTAAGTCAAGTCGAAGGTAACTCAGAATAAGCTTTGCACAAAAGACCTGAACTCTGTTCTATGATTAACATAATTTCTGTACATTTATAAGGGAGTTTGTTTAAAATATGTATCTTTTACTATTTTGTCTCCCAGGTGTTGGCTCTTTTACAATTATTGATGGAAATCAGGTCAGCGGAGAAGATGCTGGAAACAAGTACGTTCTGTTATTTTCAAATAAAAACATGTTAGGGAAGGCAGTGCACTGTCACAGGAGAAGGGAGGCCTGAGTCCTAGGTTCATCTCCTAAAGCAGAGTGATCCAAATAACCTGTTTGATTAGGGTAATGATGAGGTTTGAACCATCAGTAATTCAGTTATCAGCTGAGTGCTTAACCATTGCACCATCTGTACTTCTGTGAAGATAAGGCTACCTGGGTGAAGGTAACCAGATTGCCTTGCCCTCCTGAAGAGGTGCCATGTGAATAAATTAATGCCATTATGGATAAATAAAAAGTACCTACCATTACTATCTTTATTCTTATTAAGGCAGAAGACTAATCATTATTCATATATTTGTGAAATACAGACCTTTCCTCAGTTCTTGCATTGATTCTTGGTTATTACTATGTGGTTTTGGCGGCTTAGTGATAAAGAATTGGGCTACCAACTCAAAGGTACACAGTTCAAATCTACTTGCTGCTCCTTGGGGGGGGGGAGAGAATTCTCCTCCAGTGTGAAATACAACCTCTAAGAACCCCCCGGAGGCTCAGCTAAGAGTTGGTTCTGATTCAGCGGTACATAAGAAGGTAACACTAAGTGATTAGTAATATTTATGTTTTGGGATTATGAAAATAATAAAGGCAGTCCCTTTTATTTGTGATGTTTTCTAAGCTTAGTCTAGTTCTCTATGTACTGCTGTTTTGAAGATAGCCTGGACATTGTCCTTAATGATTCAGAGTACCTCCATGTTTGAATTTCAGGTTCACTCTTTCAAAAAGTTGGAATCTGAGATCTCTCATTGCATTTTTTCACTAAACAACAATAATAGTTAAATACAAGAAAAAACATGGTCTGGTTCATAATGAACTTAGATGTCTTCTTTGGGTGGGTGTAGAAGTTTCCCTTATCCATAACACAGACCCTTGATTGATAGCCTTAAAGAAAAAGTCCATTGTCTTTTGCATGCGTAATCTCTGATTTGGTTGTTTGGCTGAAGCATGATTTGGTAAGAGTAAATTTTGTATTTCTAACGTCACCAGTGAAATTGTGTCGCAAGTGACACTTTGACTAAATAGCAGCCTCAGATCTGGGCCGTGGGAGGAAGCCTGAACGCCTTTATTACAGTTACCTACAAAAGGAGCCCAGACGGCATAGAAGATTGTTTGGGCTGTTAAACAAAAGGTAGGCAGTTCGGACCCACCCTCTGATTAGAGGGAAGAAGGTCAGATTGTCTCCTCCTGTTAAGAAACCTGATGGAGGGTGGCCTTATATTGGAACCCACTCGACAACAGTAAGTGGGTTTTGTTCTTGTGTTTTTGGTTTTTACTCACTCATTGCTGTGAAGTCAGAACTGACTTAGAGCAGCTGACCTTCTGGGGGATTTTTGGAAGCTCTGAATCACACAGGAGGAGATTGCTCATTTTCCTTTGAGCTGCCGATGGGTTCGAACTGCCAGAGAGACACCACCTTTGGATAAACAGCACAACTCCCTACAGACTATGCCACCATAGCTGCCTTTTCTAGTTTTGTTGTTTGTCAATTGCTGTTAAGTTGAGCATGGCTCATAGCGACCCTATGAACAAAAATATAACTCTTGTCATTTCTCAAAGTCCAGAGAGTTTCCAGAGGCGTGTTCTTTAGGAAGTGGATGCCACTCTGCTTGTAGTTATAGTTACCTGCAAAAGCAAATGGACCAGTGTTCAATATAGCATTTCCCAGGGTGTGCTCTGTGAAAACGCTGGCTGTAGGTAAGATTAATCACTGCTAAATGGGCAAAAGGATTTCATAAATGGATGAGATGGGAAATAGATGAAGTTAAACATTTTCTTATTATATTATGTGTAGTTGGTGTGTTTTGAATTTTTAAGCAGAGCATATGGTGTATGACATTTCCTAAATTTTTCAGCCAAAGAACACTTTTCTTTCAGAGCAACTTGTGTGGTATACAGCTTGATTAGTCCAATTTTCTTCCTCCTAGAAGACTTTTACAATCTAAAGTAAAGTTGCAGTTCTTTTTCTCTATAAATACTGCATTGCATGACGTGGATATGTCTAGAAGACAGTATGCTGTGTCAAATACATCATAAACTAAAGGACCACTATTGTATCAGACCACTATTAAGGGAGCTCTGGTAGCCTTGTTGTAATGAATTTCACTGCCAACCCAAAGGCAAGAGGTTCAAATCCACCAGCTGCTCCGTAGGAGAAAGCTAGGCAGTCTTGTCCCCGGTAATTTACAGCCTCTGAAAACTCACTGGAGGGTCAGCTATGAGTTGGTCCTGACTTGATGGCAGATAGCAACAATTGGAAAAAGTTAAAGAACTTCACTGTGGTCCCAGGTGAGCAGAAGGGCTATTCTGCCATCACCAAGGTGATGAGCAGAGAGGACACCATCAGCATTCACAAGCAGATCCTTGGAGCAGGCTTTAAGAAGCATACCCTTTGGGCACTCAGGGAGATCTGGACACTTGCCATGAAGGAGATGAGAACATCAGATGTTCGCCTTGACACTAGGCTTACAAAGCTGTCTGGGCCAGAAGAGTAACAACTGTCCCATACCACATCCATGTATAGGTGTCCAGAAAACACAGTGAAGACAAAGATTTCCCCAGACAAGCTGTATATACTGGTTATGGTTTTAATAACTGTTTAAAAATATGTGTGATTTAACTCAAGAAAGGGACACAAATTTAAAACCTATGTACTGCTTTTTTTATGTGGGAATTGTCATTTTGGTGCTTAAAGAATAAAAAGCTATTTTACCCAGTCCTTTAAAAAAAAAAAAGTATAGTTTATATTGTGACTGAAAACCTGGCATTATATGTAACCTTTTCTGTATTGTGCTAAGCCTTTTTTTCCTCCTACCCATTATAGTTTTTTTCTTCAAAGAAGCAGTATTGGCAAGGTAAAGCATCCAATTTGTAATAGAATAGACTATAGTTATATGTGGGCATTTAAGGACACCACTGTGTTTTGATTGCTTAAAAAGCTTTGACTTTAAAAGAGCATACTTACCTGGAAAAGTTAACTCAGCTCATTTTTTAATCTTGTAAGTCTTTATAAAGATGTTTGTTTGAAAACTTAGAAGTACTGTCTGTATTTTTATATTGTATCACGTATCTTTATCACATTTAAATCTTGAATTATAATATTTGGCGTAGAGGGTTTTTTTAACACTTAAGAGATAACTGAATATCCTTTATTTTTCTAGTTCATATTAAAAAATTTTAACAAATTATATTAGTCCACGTAGTACAGTATTCTGAATGAGAATTCCTGTTTCTTTAACGATGTCCTCTGATTATAGAAGCAGGAGCTAGTCTTGGTATGGGTTTGATTTGGAACAGCCCCCCCCCCCCGCTCTAGGATTTTCTGCTTATTTGCCTAATTAGAAAAGTAGGGTGCACTTAAGGACTCTGAATAATAAGATTTTAGCTATTTTAAGTAATAGTCTAGTTGAATCCTACTTTAAGATAGAGAAAGGACAATTTCAGAAAGTAGAATTGTCATCCTTAAGTATAAAATTTTAGTTGTTTTGCCGTGTGTTTTGACTGACCTGAAAGTTGCTTTGTGAGAAATTTTGTCTAATTCCAGCCAAATGCTTTGTTTTTAAAAAGAACCGAGCTCAAGCTGCCATGGAGTTCTTACAAGAATTAAATAATGATGTCTCTGGAAGTTTTGTGGAAGAGGTATAAATATATATATATCTATGTACATATGTATATGTGTGTGCACGTGCATACATAAGGTCAGATGTGTCGGAGATGGTGAGTTTGGCTCAAGATAGGGAAAGGTTCAGAGCTATTGTTCATACGTCAATATGAGTTGTTATCGACTCGACGGCACATAACTACAACAAACCTTATTTCTCTACTGAGGAGTAATTATTTTAATGTAATTAAAAGCCCTAGAAATTTAGAATTTTGAATGCTTGCATCACGTGTTGAGAATTTAATAACTATAACTTTGGTGTTCAGTATATTGCCTCATTTATTCTAAAATAGATTAACTCTTTCTGCTGTATTTACTGTTAATTATGAACATTTTGGATTTTCTTCCCCCCTGTCCTATTTAGAGTCCAGAAACTCTTCTAGACAATGATCCTTCATTTTTCTGTAGGTTTACTGTTGTGGTTGCAACTCAGCTCCTCGAAAGGTAAATTTTCATGCTAATAGGTTTTAATTTTAGTCTCTTGCTGGAGTTAAATAATTTTCTTTTATCTGCATAATCTAAGATTTGCTTTTAAAAAGTTTTAAGCTCTATGGAAACCTTTAATTAAAGCACTCATAAGTCAAGCACTAAAAAACAAGAAAATGTTAAGATCTAAAATTTTTTAATATATTGAATGTAGTAAAAAATGAACATTGATTATTTTTCAGTCATAAAAAGTAGTAAGATTCAATTATGGAAGCTTTCAGGAGCTCTCTAGGAGTTCCTGGGTGGTTCAAATAGTTAATGCAGTTGGTTGGTAACTTAAAGGTTTGTGGACTAAAGTTCACCCAGTGGTCCTTGGAAGAAACCTGGGCATCTACTTCTGAAAAATTACCCTTTGAAAACCCCTGAGAAGCCTCACTCTATTCTGCCGTGAGTGAGGTTCACTTGAGTCACAATTTACTTGAGAGTAACTGGGTTTTATAATAAAAGTTTTAGAAATGTTTTTCTCTTTATTATGAAATATTTAGAAAATGCATATATATATATATATAATCCTAGAGTCCAAAATACATACTTTGTTTCAGATTGTAGAATAGCTTGGTATTCAGTACATCCTTGACCTGATTTTGTAAATACAGTAGAAGTATTTTTTGCCTTTAATATTTGAAGAAGAAAGTTGCTGTATTTTAAGATTTTTCATGTTGTATTTGTTTGCTCAGTCTTATTTATTTTGCTTTTCTTACAGTACATTGCTACGCTTAGCAGATGTCCTCTGGAATGTTCAGATCCCTCTTTTGGTCTGTAGGACATATGGACTAGTTGGTTATATGAGGATCATTATAAAAGAACATCCAGGTAAAATTATAGAGTATGTGGATTTGTTACGGACTGGCCTAGCTCTAGTCTTAAAGACTTGACACTTAACAAAGTTAATTATGTTTATAAAATAAAATTTGAGTAGCACAGCTTAGTAGGAGTTACAGGGTAGCTTAGCATTATAGAAGGGGACAAAGCAGCTTCTTCATCTTATTAAGAGGCACCATCACGTAAGTTTCTAGCTTCCTTTCCCTTCATTCATGGCAGGAGGGACCAGTCCTTGGAGAAGGACATTGTGCTTGGAAGGGTGGAGGGACAGCACAAGAGAGGAAGATCCTGGATGAGATGGATTGACTCAGTGACTAGGGTAATGGGGGGTAGATGTGTCTGAGACAATGAAAATTGGCTCAAGATAGAGCAGATTTCGGAGCTATTGTATACAGGGTCACTATGAGTCATAAGCAAGAGCACATAACAACAACAGCCTGTGCATCTCAGCCGTACGGAAGAGGCAGAGTTCTGTGGGTCACTTTGACACATGGAATTTAGGCCCTCTTTCCTCCATCACTCTTTTTATTTTCATTCGGATCCAGACCTGCATGCCCATCACAGCCCTACTCCCCCAACCTCACCCCCAGTTCAGAAGCAACTGCATGCTACAACTAAGGGAAATTAGTGGTAGGGGAGACCAGAGTCATTTTTGAGTCAGTCTCATTTTCTGGGTATCAGCTCCAGGCTGATACTTATAAAATTTTGATAATAAATCATCAGCATTTTCTGTAGTACTCATAGAATATGCTGTTTACTCACAGTGTGCCAGTTATAAGCCAGGCATGTGTGAGTTTAGTGATCCATTGGCATTGGCCACGCCGCTGACGAGTATCTACAAGGGGCAGTTAGGCAGTGGTTTGGAAGATAAGCTTCTGGTAGGTAGTGGTGGATTGTTTTAAGAGTTACAAGTGGAAAAGTGATAAAACTTTTAACTGAGTCACCCTGGAAGCTAAATGCATGGATTTGAAAGGGTGAAGTTTGGAGTCAGGGGTCCTTGTTATGTTTTTAGCAGTCTAGGTGAGAGGGAGCTTGAGATCCTTTTACTTAGGATAGAAGTCAGGGCTCTTAAGAGAACGGCTAGGTAATAATGAAGGTTAACACGGCCAGCTAATGAAGGTTATACCTACCTTTGTGTTGATGATTTAATGTAATCTTTATAAAAACTCTCCAAAGGAGTTACTAACTTGTGTCTGCTGAGGTTGCTGAGACACAGAGATTAAGTTGCTTGACTAAAGTCACACAGCTAGCAAGTGGCAGAACTGATGTATTTTCTTGTTCTCCCCTTGTGAGAGTGTATGAAGTGAGATCAGGATGTGGTAAGTGACAGACATTGAGACCAAGGAACAAGAAGTCAAGATGACTTTTGGAGAGGTGTCTGGATGGTGGTGATAGTATCTATTGAAAACCACCTAGGCGGGAGGGTAGATGATTAGATGCTGTATGTATTTTATTGGCATTTATCTTAACCAGTTATAATCATGAGGAGATTCTACGCCTCCGGAGGAAATCTTGGCTTGACTTTTATTAAAACTGTAGTTCACTTAAGATTTGTACCTTTTACTGTAGTAAAGTTGTACTTCGGTAATATACTGGGAAAAAAATAAAAATCCTATGCTTGCTTAAAAATTATAGAAGGATATGTCCTAAAATAAGATACATTGCTGAAGGAATAAGTGTACCTTTTGGACTTTTCTGCTTCTCAGTAATAGAGTCTCATCCAGATAATGCCTTAGAGGATCTACGACTGGATAAGCCGTTTCCGGAGTTGAGAGAACATTTGCAATCTTACGATTTAGATCATATGGAAAAAAAGGTTGGTTGTCTTTCATTTCTAGACCTAAAACTTTTTTTTTTACCCTAACATTTTATAGTAATTCAGGCATGAGAAAATACTGTTAATTCTATCATCCAGAATAGCATTTTACCTCAGTTGTTTCAAATAATACCTTTTCCCAAACAATTTTAAACCTTCTCCTTTTATTTTTCTTAAATTATATTTTTAAGTTGTAAATACGTTAGGCAACCATGTCTGTGGAACAGTCGCTCAGGTTAAGAAATTAACATAAATATTAACAGCGCCCAGGAGCCCTCTTCATGCCTAGATAGATGCATTTTTTGGAAGTACTTTGAATTTGAATTTGGGGTGGTCTGTATTGAAATGATTTCTCTTGAAGTTTATTTTCAGTGTTTTTAGAACAACCAAGGCAGTTTTGTATGTTTTGTTACAGAAATATTGATCTTTATTCAACCAAGGCAGTTTTGTATGTTTTGTTACAGAAATAATGATCTTTATAAAGTTGAACAGTGTAATTTAAAGAATATGTATTTATAAAACCACATACATGTTAATTAAGATAGTTCATCAGAAGACACAGAGCAGTCTGAAATAAGTACAGTCAGGATACTTAGGCTTCATTTTTAGGAGGCAGCCTTCGAGGCTGTTTTCTCGTTGGTAAGATGGAGACAATGATAATATAAATCTGACATATCAGGATTACATTGGACGCTGCATATGAAGTGAGGACATGGCGAAAAAGCAGTGGGCATAACATCGTTTCTTCCCTGCCCCAACCCCCGTTCATTATTCTCTATTAGCAGGCAGTGAATGGGTAACAAGTAATCTTGAAATTGTTGTAAATGAGATGTTGTAGTGAAGAATTAATGTTAACTGTTATTGACAGTTTTGCTGATCTGTCTTATTTTCAGGATCATAGCCACACGCCATGGATTGTGATCATAGCTAAATACTTGGCACAGTGGTATAGCGAGGTATGTATTTTTTTTTTAAGGCATTTCATAGGGGCTGTATTTTCATTTTTTATAAAGGATTTCACTGGATGGAGTAAATCCATTTTATTTCCTTTTGTAGTTAAAAGGCAGAAGTGTGCTTTTAAATTTCAGTCTAACAGGTTTTTGATACTGCTTTGGTATTAACAACTGAACAAATTAACAAATGCCATTCTGAAACTGACAGTGGGAAACAAATGAGAAATGACCTACAATTTGTCTTTTCTATTACGTGAGCTTCTTGGTTTCATTGAGGTGTTTATTTGATGATGAAAAGCTTATGTAGGTAGGAAAATGGGGAAACCAGCTACTGTCAGATTCCATATTTTGAGTTTTTATAACGGTTTTTAAAATTTCCAACTCCCTTAGACGAATGGACGAATACCTAAGACATACAAAGAAAAAGAAGACTTCAGAGATTTGATTAGACAAGGTAAGGGTTTGGATATGATTAAATATGAAATAAAGTTTGAAAAGCAAGTGGCTTGAAGCAAATGTTTATTGGATTTCTTTGACAAAGTCATGAGCTTTTAATTTTTTTATTTTAGGGAGTTTAAGGAACCATTTCTTAAATAATTTTAATAGTGATAGGCCATATTTTTTCATAAAATTCCATATTTTACTCATTTTTCAGACTCTGACTAGGTTACTTTAATAGTGTTGGGAAAGGAGTAAGAAGAAAAGGACTGCTGTTTGCCAACTAATTTCTTTTTTAATAGGAATTCTAAAGAACGAAAATGGGACTCCAGAAGATGAAGAGAATTTTGAAGAAGCTATTAAAAACGTCAACACAGCACTAAATACAACTCAGGTATTAAAAGAGATCCTTAAATGTTTCATGTAAGAAAATATTTTCTCTTATGTGAGATACTTAATACTATTTTAATTGTATAGTTGGTAAGAAAGATGTTTTTTTAATGACAGTTGACTCTTTGAGTAGGTGTCTGTGTTGTCCTTTGTTAATGTGTATGCCAGTGCTTCAGCATAGAATAGCAATTCAGTAATTCCTAGCAATTATTTGAAGTACATAATTTGTGATTTGTAACAGTTGAGAGGTAGGAGTTAAATAAAAAGAGTGATATTTTACAGGCCCAAAATAGTGTTGCTTGAAAAGTTAAAACCTTTTGACCCTGTATTTGCTGTTGACCGCAACTACTTGAATATAACGGAATGTGAGGATAACTTAAGTTGTGTACTCGTTTGTTTTGTTGTTGAGATCTGGCCAGTGAATTTTTTGAGGAGTTTGGGAATGAGCATTCTTAAGTTAGAATTTTTTGTATAATTTAACAAAAAGTAAAAATGCTGCCTCTTAAGATACGAATACACTTAAGCTAACTTTGCACACTTTCTAGAGACAGTTAAGTACTGTTTCAGTGGGGCATTGATTACAATGATGGATTAAAAATGTGTGTTGCCAAAACTCATCTAAGTTTTACAGTTAAGACCTGTGCATTTCACAAAACATAAAATTTACCACAATTATATAAGAGTTTAGTTGTTAGGAAATAGTAAACTATGTAAGCACTTAAATGGACTGGTATGTGCTGTTGTTGTTGTTGTTGTTATGTGCCGTCGAGTCGTTTGCGACTCATAGCGACTCTATGTACAGTAGCCCTAAACCGTGCTCTATCCTCTGCCAATCTCATTGCCTCTGACATACCCATCCCGAATACCCCAGTCACTGAATCAATCCACCTCATAGAGGGTCTTCCCCTCCTGCGCTGTTCCTCCACTCTACCCAGCATTGATGTCCCTCTCTCAAGATCTGTCCCTCTTTACAACATGTCCAAATTATGTCAGACGAAGCCCCAGAATCCTTGCCTCCAAGGAGCAGCCTGGTTTAACCCTCTCTAGGATGAATCTATTTGTTTTCTTGGCAGTCCATGGTACATTCAGTACTCTTCTCCGGCACCACAGCTCAAAGGCATCAATTCTCCTTCTATCCTCCCTAGTCATTGTCCAACTCTCTGGTGCATAACAAGTGATTGCAAAAACCATGGCCTGTATCAGGCGCACTCAGTCTCTAGAGCGACACCGCTGCTCTTGAGTATTTTAGAGAGGTCCCTAACTGCAGACTTTCCCATCGCAATACGTTTTTTGATTTCCTGGCTGCTGGTGCCAAGAGTGTTGACAGTGGAGCCAAGCAAACTGAAGCTGTGAACAATCTCAATCTCTTCACCATCCATCCTGATGCTACCGATTGGTCCAGTGGTGAGAATTTTTGTCTTCTTGACATTGAGCCTCAGTCCATATTGAAGGCTGCAGTCCTTGACCCTCTGCAGTAAGTGCATGAGGTCCTCCTCAGTTTCAGCGAGCAAGGGTTGTGTCATCTGCATAATGCAGATTGTTGATAGATCGTCCACCAATCCTAACGCCACGCTTCTCCTCATAGAGCCCAGCCTCTCATATAATCTGCTCTGCATACAGGTTGGAAAGGTATGGAGATAGGACACATCCCTGGCGTACACCCTTCCCAATTTTGAACCATGCAGTGTTGCCCTGCTCTGTTGTGACAACTGCCTCTTGGTCCAAGTATAGGTTTCATATTAGCACAATTAAATGTTCTGGGATTCCCATTCTTCTCAGAGTCAGCCACAGTTTGTTATGATCCACACAGTCAAATGCCTTTGCATAATCAATGAAACACAGATAGACATTCTTCTGGTATTCTCTGCTTTCAGCTAAGATCCATCTAACATCAGCTACAATATCCCTAGTATGTGCTAGATGGACAAAATTGAGCATGCTATTGGGAAAATCTGCTGTCATGGACCTCTCCAGAGTGCTGAAGAGCAACAATGGCAGTCTAGACACAAAGGTGCACCTAATCCAAGCCATGGTCTTCTCAATTACGTGTTATGCTTCATAGAGTTGGACAGTGACTGAGGATGACAGAAGAAGAATAGATGCCTTCGAATTGTGGTGAAGAGTCTTCAACATATCATGGACTGCCAAGAGAACAAATAGGTCTGTCTTGGAGAGGGTGAAGCCAAGTCTTTCCTTGGAGGCTAGGATTTTTACTTTGGGCACATGGCTAGGAGAGATTGGTCCTTGGAGAAGGACATCATGCTCAGAAGGGTGGATGGTCAGGCAGGAGAGGGAAACCTCAGATGAGATGGATTGATACAGTAACTGCCCCAGTGGGGGTTGGTATGTTGGAGTTAATGAGACTGGCTCAGGACAGGGAAGTGAAGGTTCAGAGCTGCTATACACAGGGATTGCTATACATCACAGTTGACTCCATGGCACATAACAACAATAACATACTATGACAAGTTTGGAAGCAGGTGTGGCATCCACTCCCTAAACAACATGCCTCCGGAAACTCTATGAACTTTGATAAAGGTCAATCGTTGTAGAGGAGCTTCAGGCCTTTTGTTCATAGGGTCGCTATGAGTTGTGCTCAACTTGAAGGCAATCAACAACAAGAGGGTAGAGTGTAAAAGAGAAGGGTGGGTCTGAGATGGGGAGGCAGCTTTACATAAGAATAAAAAAAAAGACTAGAGAAACCTTAGTGCAATGAGAGGCAGAGGGCTGGAGTGGACCTCTGCACGCTGAGGAAGCCCATGTCCAAAGGACTGTGATCAAAAATGACATCTGCTCAGGGAGCAGTGGGAACGGCAGTTTGATTGAAAAGAGGTGAGCAAAGGAGAAAGCTGTAGGAGTGATTTGCATTTCGAGGGGCAGGCTGCCTGGGCCACTGGGGCCCTTTGAGCAGGGCCGTGCAGTGCAGTGACCTAATAGACATTTCTGTGTGTTAGCAGTGTAACTCCCTACAACTACGCCAGAAGCGCCCTCCCTCGGATTTATGTTTCTAAAAGGTCATTCTGGCTGTTTTGTGAGTAGAATGACTGGAGGAGATCAGGAGTGGGGGGGGAAAGAGACCCGTAACGAAGTTCTCAGTGAGGAATTTCTTTCCTCCTCTCATCAGCAGAATCAAAACCTATAATTTGTAGAAATTTTAGTACTTTTCTCATGCCAACAGTAGAGGTACTTAATTTAAGTATCCAGTGTTTGTTAGCGTGGCTGTCTCTTTTTGGTATCAGTAATTATGGTATACGGATTTCATGCTTTTTGGCACGCTGTTAAAACATAGAAGACCAGGGAAGCTAGCTTAGTACTGATGTTTGGAAACTGGCTATCTTCAAATATAACTATCGAAAAAAATGTTTTCCTTGGACTCTCGTTGGCTCTATGATGTAATAGATAAAGGTCAGTCTTTAATGGTGACAGGATGGGCAGGAGAGGGCTTTTACTTTCTTCCTATTTATATCTCCTAATACTAAGTGAAAATCTTAAAAAAATCAGAGGCTTGTATTTTATTATAATTTGAAAATTTCTTGTTTAGAGAAAGATCTTTGAAAGCAAAGGTAGGAGATTTCTAAGTAAGCATTCTGTGTGTGTTTTTTTTGTTAGATTCCAAGCAGTATTGAAGATATATTTAATGATGATCGCTGCATAAATATCACCAAACAGGTAACTAAAGAAAAATATAGAAGGTAGTACTAGTGATGCTTAAATTTATGGGTCAAGTTAAAGTGCCACTTAATGCTATAGGGTGGTTTTTTGTTTCTTATTATTTTAGACACCATCATTTTGGATTTTAGCTCGTGGTTTAAAAGAATTTGTGGCCAAGGAAGGTCAAGGAAATTTACCTGTTCGAGGAACAATTCCTGATATGATTGCAGATTCAGGCAAATACATAAAATTACAAAATGTGTAAGTTACTGATTTTAAACTGTGTTGTAGACGTGGTATGCTTATATTAGAGATCAGCATTTTATCAGTGGGGAAATGATGTCTGAGAAAGCCAAGCCAAGCCTACTATAATCTTAGTGTTTTCAAACTAAGCTAAAACCTTCTTTAAAAAATAAGCATAAGGATTTAAGAGCCATTTTTTTTTCTTTTCTACTTCAGTAAACCCCAGTGTTTACAGTGCCTCAGGAGAAGGAAGGACAGCCTCCTTCTGTGATACTGCCTCTGAAAACCCACTGGAGAGTCAGCTATGGGTTGGTTCTAACTCAACGGTACACACAAGAACAACACTGCCACAGTGGCTTTAATTTTAGAGAGATTGTTGTTCTGCCATTTTAGAGATATAAAAACTAAGGCACAGAGAAAGCAACTTATTTAGGTAAATGTCAGAAGCAAGATTTTAACTCCAGCAGATCCACCCCCAGAGCATTCTCTTAAATGCATGCTCTGCATTCTCAAACCTATAATTTAAAACTTTGAAGTCTTTAGTTTTGTTGAACTTTTTTTTTTATTATGATTGTTTCACAGCTTAAGGAATCTTTGACTGTAGACACCTCTCTAAGCAACACTAGCTTTAAAGCAGATAGTCTCTCATAGAGCCATGTCTCTGTGAATATGACCTCTGTGTAGTTTGAGCACAGTGTTGATGGATCCAAGGTCACTGACTCGTTTGTCTCAGGAGCCAGCTACTGTCACACACAAAAGATCTCTGATGCCCAGATGGGTTGCCCTTCTTATCTCAGCGTCTCCAACACTGATCTAAGATCTTAAGAAAGGTCATCTGAGGCTAGAAAGAACCCCTGATAGCTCATAGCATAAACACTGATCATCTTTACAGGATGAGACGGTATACAAACTTAAACATGTGAATTGATCAGTAGATGAACAGTTGTAGCTTTGGCTTGACTTAAAGGAGATGAACTGTGCTCTCCCTGAGCACATTTCTCGAGTCCTCTGCCCAGCTTTGAAGTTGGGTGCTGGTTATTAAGTTGGACAGCCAGGATGATGGTGGGCCCCAGGAGTTCATCACCGTCACCAGCGAGTCCCTGCTGGTTCCATCTCCCGGGCAGCTCCACATTCCCGATGCTGTCAGACCAGTAGGTTGTTGGGGACTTGTGTTTGTTTTGGTTTTTATTTCCATGAGAAGACTTGCTTTATTCATAGGGGTTATTAAAATCTTGTTAGTTTTAAAATTTGTTAATAGAAGCTTTATGTCATTTGTTTCCAGTTACCGTGAAAAAGCAAAGAAGGATACGGCCGCTGTGGGTAATCATGTTGCCAAACTGCTGCAGTCCATAGGCCAGGTGAGCCGCTGGGCTGTGCCTTTGTGGTGCGTCTCCCCCCGGGCCTGCACTGCGTACAGTCAGCGGGCTAAGCGAGGCACGCACTGCCTCCGCCCTAGTGAGGACAGCCCGTCCTTCAGAAACAAGAGCTTCTTACAGAGGTCTTGATTGTAGAGAGCCCTTCTCCTCCCGCCTCCTTCCACTGTGAGTGAGTTGGCTGTGTGCTGCACCGTGCACGAGTCTCTTCTTTTTTAAGTATAATTTCCATTTTATTTTCAAACGAGCTTTTTCTTTGGCCTTTAAGGAGTTAAATCCTTACATGGGCTTTGGTGGTAGTCGTGGGGCAGCACCTGCAGGTCTAGGTAGTCGTGGGGCAGCACCTGCAGGTCTAAATCCAGGTGGAGGTGTTCTGGCCTTCCGGGCTTCACGAGAACAGTTCCTCACCACTTTGCTGGGAATGGCACAGCTCACTCAGCATCACTCACATAGAGCTTCGGAAGCACATATGTGCCGAAGACACCCACTTCGGCAGTATCCCTGACAGCAGCTACCTCACTGTATTTCAGATTACAAACTTCTTAATTGCCTTGTCTTTGGGCACGCAGCGGGCGCAGTTCGTGCAGCAAATAGGCTGCATGTGGCCGAGGCCCTTTTTGGCACGACCGTTGTTTCTCCTTTTCCTTGTCATGTTGGAAGCAAGGGCCCAAGAGAGGACTAGTCTCCTCTTTTGTACTGAAGCAGAACCTGTATTTGTCTCTTTACAGGCCCCAGAGTCCATTTCAGAGAAAGAATTAAAGTTACTTTGTAAGTCTCCTCAAGTTTATTTTCTTATTTTGCTTGATAAAAATATGCCCAAGACTGGAAATGTTCCCAGTAATCTTAAGTGGTTGGAATTTGAAATTTTAAATTTTCCATAATCTTGGTGTGAATATATTTAATTACTGCACAGGCTTTAAAAAACAATTCCCAGGGAGCTCTGGTGGCCTAGTGGCAAGAAGCTGCACTGCAATCCCAGAGGTACGCAGTTTGAATCATCCAGATGCTCTGCTGGAGAAGGAGGGACAGTCTCCTCCTGTACCAGTCAGATCCGATTTGACGGTACACACACAAAAAATAATAAAAAAAATTTTAAAAATAATAATTTCTTTATATGATAAATGGAGAGGGTATTTCATGATTACCAGAAGTAAAACACATAGCTGTATATGGCAATACTAAAAGGATATTAGGGTCATATCACTGAAAATGGAATTATTAAAAAAAAATTGAATTATAAACTGACTCTCCACCCGATTTTCTGAGACTGTAAATCAAATGGGAGAAGCTTGCCCATCTGCCTCCCGACGAGCCAGTGGTACCTTCGAACCGCCAGAGAAGTGTGGCCTTGGGTTAGCTGCACGAGGCGGCAGAGCTCTTGATTGTCATTCATGCAGAGTTATTTTCAATTTGTTCATTTAAAATAATTTGGAAAAGTTCTGAGGATTTTGTGTATACTTGTGAGTCACCCTATATTGATTGTATTAGTTTAAATGTTCATTTTTATCTCTGTCAAATTACTTTTATGGTATTAATTTTTCTGTCTGGTTTTAGGATTACATGTTTTCCAGGGTCTTTTGTAAAAAAAATGTAATAAATATATATGTAATACAGCATTTGATTTTAGCATTCTTCACTTGTACAATTTGGTGATCATATTGGTTCATCATATTGTACAGCCATCTACTACTGTTGTTTGACGTCAAGTTGGAACCAACTCATTGCTGGCCCTCTGGCAGGTTTTCAGAGGCACTAAATCAGAGTTTTGTCCCATGATTAATCTTTCTGTTTGTTTCTGTATTAGTATTTGTTCTACGACTACTTGATTCTTGATTATTAAAAGCTTGATAATGAGTGTATGTTGTTCTTGTTATGTGCCTTTGAGTTGACTATGACCTTCACAGCGACCTTCTGAACAACAGATCTGAACCTTGCCTTATCTTGTGCCATCCTTACTATCTCCTGATATACTTGAGCCTATTATTACAATCACAGTACTAATCCATCTCGTTGAGGGTCTTCCTCTGACTCGCCACCTTTCTAAGCATGATATCCTTTTCTGAGGACCAGCCCCTCCTAATCACATGTCCAAAGTATGTGAAACAATGCTTCACTATCCTCACTTCCAAGGAGTACCCTGGTTATACCTTCTCTGAAACATAATTGTTTGTTCTTGTGGCAGTCCATGGGATATCCAGTATTCTTCTCCAATACCATACAGTTCAAAGGCACTGATTCTTCTTTTGTTGTCCTTATTCATTGTCCCAACTTTGATATGCATAGCAAGTAATTGAAAAGACTTGAATCAGGTGCACTTTAGTCTTGAAAGTGACATCATTGTTTCTTAGAACTTTGGAGAAGTTCTGGACAGCAGGTTTTCCCAGTGCAGTACATCTTCTACTTGACTGATGGTTCCAACGGTATTGTTTCTGTCTGTCATGATGCTGCCTGTTAGCCCAGTCGTAAGGATTTTTGTTTACTTGGTGTTGAGATGTTTTCCATATAGAAGGCTTCTGTCCTTGATCTTCCACAGTAAGTGTTTTAAAGACCTCTTCACTTTGAGCAAACGAGGTTGTGCCATCTGCCTAACGTAGGTTGTAGATGAGTCTTCCTCTGATCCTGTTGCCTCTTCATAAAGTCTGGCTTCCAGAACTATTTGCTCAGCATATAGACTGAACAAGTATGAAGGAAAGATACCTTTCTTGATTTTAAACCTGCCGTGTTCCCTTGCTCCATTTGGTATAGATTCTGGGATTCCCATTCTTCTCAATGTTATCCATAACTTTTTATGATCACTAGTCAAATGCCTTTGCATAGTCAATAAGACACAGACATCTGTTTGGTGTTTTCTGCTTTCAGCCAAGATTGACCTGACATCAGAAATGATATCCCTGGTACCACAGCCTCTTTAATATAGCTTGAACTCTGCAGTTCTCTGTTGATTACTATTCTAGCTGTTTCTGAGTAATCTTCAGCAAGATTTTGCTTGCATGTGATACTGTTCACTAATTTCCACATTTTATAAGATCATCTTTCTTGGGAATGGAAACAAATACGGATCACTTAGGAGTACATAAGTATTTATTATTATTATTATTATTATTTTTAGTATTTATTATTCTAACCACTTTGGAATATGTTTGAAAATTTCTGTATTAGAAAGTTAGTAAGAAAAACCCCCAAACCAATACATACACCAACAGCACACTACCAAATACTTTTTCGCTTAGAATGCTTTATCAACAATTATGACAGCTATCAGGACAGCTATACTTTATGGTATTATATTAGGCACAGTTGTCACATTTGACTTAGAGAACAACTCTCAAGAACTCCTCTGAGAGGAGTCACATTTTTACAGGTTGTGATGCTGAGGGCATGGATTTAAGGTAACTTGTGGCCTAGTGGTTTTTCTACACCCCATCAGCACCAAATAGATTTTTCACCACATTCCCATGTCTGTGAAGAATGGATGCATGGTTTCCTGTTCTTGTGTGTGTGTGTGTGTGTATGTACCATCAAGTCAGATCTGACTGGTACAGAAGGAGATTGTCACTCATTCTCCAGCAGAGCATCTGGTGGATTCGAACAATTTCCTGTTCTTAAAGTGACCTGTTATTGAGAATATTCACGTGTTACAACCGTTTACCCTCTTTATTTTCCCCCCTACGTTTAAGGCAGTAATTCTGCATTTCTTCGAGTAGTGAGATGTCGCTCTTTAGCTGAAGAATATGGTGTGGATACAATCAACAAGGATGAAATTAGTAAGTATAACAACTTTCCAATGCTAGGTTTTCATTTTTAACTGAAACAAACCCACCGCCATCCAGTTAGTTCTGACTCCTAGCTGCTCTCCCTCAAGTTTCCAAAGCTGAAAATCTTTATGGGGAGACATTGCCCATCTCCTCTCAAGGAGCAGTTGGTGTATTTGAACCCTTGACTTTTTAGTTAACAACACACAAAAAAAATAAATATGTAACACACTATACCACCAGAATTCCTCCTTATCAATTTTAAAAACATCAATATTTTGTGTACAATAGTGTTGAGTGTAGAGAAATATGAAGGATAATGTAAATATCTATGCCATTAAATTGTAATTTAGAAACATATTCAGGTAATTGCATTTCAGAATACAAAAGCTTAATAGACGCTTAAATTCTATTTTAGTAACAGAGTCCCTTGACTGATATGTTAATAAAATCACCATGTCAACCTTAGCAGAGATTGCATGAGTATAGCTAATAGAAAAACTGCTTAGTTTCACCTTATGTTTCTCCCTTTCATTTAATGCATTTTCTGTTAGTATAAAACACTTACATTTTTGGAAAAAATCTCTTATATTCAGAAACTTGAGTATATTGTAAATAAATCCCTTCTTTGTGTGTTGTAAATTGCCCAAATTATACTGGAATTTTTTTCCCCCTTCTTCTCTTTACAGTTTCCAACATAGACAATCCAGATAATGAGATAGTGCTGTACTTAATGTTACGGGCTGTTGACAGATTTCATAAACAACATGGAAGATACCCAGGTAAGAAGAACTGTTGAATTATCAGATATAGTAAAACGTAAATTAGATACTTAAATTGAATCGTAAAATATCCTCATGTGTTTATAATCATGGTACTGAGTTTAGTTGGCAGAGGAAAGCCTGCAGAAGAAGTACACCCTTTCACTTCTGAACTCGGTACTCTGATAGTACAGGGGTTTCGTTGCTCCTTACCCTTTTTTTTTTTTTTTTTTTGCTTTAATTATTATTGTCTGAAAATGTGTAAAATGGGAGTGGACATAACTTGAGAAATCTGTAGTTGTCCAGAATATTTTTGTTCTTGATGATAATTGTGCAGGATTATTATACCATAGCACATTTTATACATAACAAAAAAATCTGTAATAGATTATACCCAACTAACAGTATGTGCTCCCTAAGCTTAATGAGCAAACATGCTAAAAAAAGCCAGGAATAATCAAGTATGTACTCGAATGATACAGTATTTAATTAAAAATGTGTTTGGTTTTTCTTGTTTTCTATTATCATATAAGAATCTACCCCAACACTTAAGCCATTTTATTGCTTCTCATGGTTTTGTGGATTGATGAATATAGGTAGACAGTTCTCACTCTGTGAATGTGTGAGAGAGTTGAGGGCAGAAAGGGGGCAAGGAGAAGTGACTGCATAGTGCTTGGGCCGGAGCCATTCTGAACACTTAATTAATTTAGGCATCCCTAATGATCTGTTGTTCATAGGGTCGCTATGAGTCATACTCAAGAGCTTCTAACAACAAAGGTGTTAGCACCTCAGTCAGGATAGCTGGAGTAGTGTCTGGCACCTCTCTGCAAATAACTAGCTAGGGCTTCCTTTTAGAGTAAGAGCTGACTTCCTCAGAGATAAGGTTCCAAAAAGTTCATGTAGTAGGTTTAAAGCTGCTTTTGACCCAGCCTTGAAAGTCACATAGATAGCATCACTTATGCTGTGTTTTAGTTTCAGAGCTAATCTCTATTGTTATCTCAATGACTCTGGGTAAATTCCTTTGTCCTTCCAAATCTCAGTTCCTTCAATCATGTGACAGTGATAATATTATCTATTCCATCGAATTAAGTATCATAGGTAAATAATAAAGGTTAAATATATGATGTACGGGGAGCTCTGGTGGCCTAGTGGCAAGGAGCTGCAACTACAATCCTAGAGGTGCACGGTTCAAATCCACCAGATTCTCTGCCAGGGAAGGAGGGGCAATCTCCTCCTGTACCAGTCAGATCTGATTTGACGGTACACTCACACAAAAATAATAAAATAAATAAAAAAAATTTTAAATATATGATGTAAAAAATCAATATAGTACTTAGCACCTTGTAAGTACTTAATAACGGGTTGGTATTACTATCGTGAAGAAAAGCAGTGATAATATTAAGCACAAAGAATATTAAAATACTAATGTTTTTTAAAAACCTGGATATTGTGTTAATTACTTGTTTTTCCTTCCGTCCTACTAGTAGTAGCTTACTTTTGGAGACATTGTAGGTTAATCATTAAAACCATCTGTTCTAGAGCAAACTGCCAAGGTTTATATTCTGATTTTGCATAGCTGAATTACTCAGGCCATAACTCAGTCAGTCTATGGTTTGGTTTTCTCATCTCTGAAATGAAAATGATAATAATATCTACTTTATAGAGTTGTTTTGAGGATTCAGTTTGAACAGTACCCAACACCTATTAGTGCTCAATAAATACCATTATTATAGCTCTAGGTCCTTAGTATTATTTAGTCTCCTAAAGATTGGATTGTAAAGATCATAATTTTTATAAAAAGTGTGACTAGGACATTACTTTTATAATTCAATTCTTTCAGCAGATAATTAGTGAGCCTCAACTGTGTGCCAAAAAGAACACCTGAAACTGGATTAAAGGAGGTTGCCATTAATTTTGGGGTTTTAATAAAATTTTTTATTTTAATTGTGATTTTAATGAAAGTTTATAGAAAAGTTGGATTTGCATTTAAAAAAAAATGGAACACTTCATGAATTTGCATGGCAACCAATAAATTTGAATCATTGCCACAGTGTAGTTGGTAGGTGCCTGTGAGTTGGCTCCAACTCATAGCAGCCCCTTGTACAATGGAAGGACGTCCACTGCTGTAGCCACTGCTGTCAGTCCTTCTCAGTGAGGTGCTTGTTTTCACTGACCACTACTTTACCAAGTTTGAGAGGCAGGGACTGGCCACTCCTGACGCCTAAAATATGTGAGATGAAATCTTAACCATCCTTACGTCTACAGAGCATGCTGGCTGCTCTTCTTCCAAGATAGGTTTGTTTATCCTAACAGCCCATGGTATATTACATGTTTTTTGCCTGCACCACAATTCAAAGATCTTAGTTCTTTGGTCTTATTTATTTATTATCCACCTTTCAGGTGCATATGAGCCAATTGAGCATATTATAGCTTGGATCAGGTACACCTTAGAATTTAGGGTAACGTTTTTACCCTTTAGAACTTTAAAGGGATCACTGGCTGCAGATTTGCCTATTGAAATACATCAGTTAATTTCTTGACTGTTGCTTTCATGGATGTTAATTGTGGATCCAAATAAAATGAAACCATCATTTCTCTATCTGTTGAACTGCACATCGGTTTATCTTTTATTCCCTCAGGAGTGTCTAACTATCAAGTTGAAGAAGATGTAGGAAAGTTGAAATCTTGTCTCACTGGATTCCTTCAGGAATATGGATTATCTGTAATGGTGAAAGATGACTATGTCCATGAATTGTGAGTACTTTTTAGTTCATGTGAGAGCAGATTCTCTTCTTCTTGTAAACCTAATTGAAATTCACGTCTCAATTCTTTTGTGTAGTTGCCGTTACGGAGCTGCTGAGCCACATACCATTGCTGCATTTTTAGGGGGTGAGTTCCATACAGGAAAAGACTGTCAGCTGTTTTTGTATACAGTTAGTACTTTAATATAAATTTTGTATTCTTAGATCTTTTAGTTAGGAGTGTCAGTGAAACAGGATGTAACACTTAGACTTTAACAACAACTAGTAAGGAGAAGTAGTACCAAAAATAGTATATATGGTATGTAGACTAAACATAAAAATTGCCGTTGAGTCAGAACTGATTCCAGTGTATTCTCAGGAGGCTAGAAATTTCATGGAAGGAGATTGCCCATCTGTATTTCGAGGAGGAGCTGGCAGGTTCGAACCCCCAGAGAAGGCACCACCTTAGGGTTAGGAGCACAACTCTCAACCACCCAAACCACCAGAGCTCTCTGGTCTATAGTAGAGGCTCAGATATTTATTGAGCAGGAAATATTTGTGAAAGTTGCAGGTTCAGATTGTAGAACGTGAACCTTTTTTATTGACAGGGCTTTTTGGTTTTTTTCTCCATTATAGCAGCCTTCAATATTTAACACCGGTCCTTTCATAATTGCAGATGTCACTAGAATACCTTTTTTGTTGAGAACCATCAAGTCAGTTTTGACCCCTAGCAAGCCATATTACAGAGTGGAACTGCTATGAAGAGTTTTCTAGGCTGTAATCTTTTTACTAGCAAACTTTCTGATCTTTATGTTACAAAGCTGCTATATGGGTTCAAACTGCTAACGTTTAGTTAGCAGCTATGCACTTATATGTATCACCAAGGCTTCTTAGAAAACTGTTATGCCTTCATTTCAAAAGTAAAGTAGGCACCAGGTAAAATCCAACTGCTGAAAGAGAGTATTATTTGGGGGGAAAGTGCAGTCTTTTGTATTAGTATTACTCTATCACGCTTTGCTTACTAAATCTGCCCATTCTTTCTAATTCACCATAATAATGAAAACCACTTGATTCTTTTAAACAGTGTGGCATAATATCCCATTGTGTTGAGTGTATAAGACACAAAACTTTTATTTCTTTTCAAGATGCAGTTCTAAAAAAATCATAGTTTTACATTTTTTAAAAGGGTAGTAAAAGTTATAGACAAAATAGTTACCATCTTAACCATTTTTAGGGGTACAATCCAGTTATTTTCATAACATTGACCATGTTGTAGATCTGTCATTACTGTCCATTTCAGTTTTATTTTCATCACCTTTGATAGAAACTCAGTGTCTCCTAAGTGATAGCTCTTCATTTTCTTCATAGTCCTGCATTTTGATGTGTGTCAGTAAACATGTCTGTTTTGGATTGCTTTTAAATATTTTGCTTTGGGAAAGAAAACTTTCTTACAAGATTAGTCTTTATATAATGCTTGAAATTTAACCTTCTAAAAAATTTGCTTTTCTCCTTGTTTCTTGCAGGAGCTGCTGCTCAAGAAGTTATAAAAATAATCACCAAACAATTTGTAATTTTTAATAACACATACATTTATAGTGGCATGTCACAAACTTCAGCAACTTTCCAGTTGTAGACTATTCATCCTGTGTAGAATTATTAATGCAACTCTAATTGTCTTCAGGTTGTGCCCTAGTCTAAGGAAACTTATGAAATTGTTTCATAATAAACATTTTACTCATTTGTACTAATGTAGTCCTACTTTTTGAGGGGGTGGAGGGAGGCAGGGAAGAGAAGCAGTTATTTTTTCCAGAGGATAAAAACTTTCCATTTCTAATGGAATTAATACCAACTTGTGCTTTCAAAGTTGCTCATCATAGAAATTCTTGTGTTTCATTAGCAACAGCTTAAAATATATTTTCTTATCACATTAAATATTGAATTTAATTCATGTACGTATTTTAGCCATGGGCATTTTAAGACCACCATTGTTTGCTAAACTTAATAGCTAAATTTAAAAAGATGACTATTCAGATATAGCATTTTATCAGATACAAGGCCCCTTGTATGTTACTTTTATTTTTTGTCACCTGCTTTTTGAAATTTTATGGAATCTTTTCAATATTAAATAAAACCTAAAATTGTATTTTAAAAGAGCAATGATATTGGACTGATCACATTCACCAGCTTATCAAAGATAGGTTGGGGGAAAGAAAGACCTCCACAATGGCATTACAAACGGTGAAAAATGGGAGGGACCGCTAGTTTCTGATTTATGGCTTGGAGGGGGGGCGCGTGGCTCTCAGCACTTAACACCCCCTAACCTGGCTGCTCAGTATATGAGGCCAGTGTCTCCCAAGTGAAGTCCTGTTACACATGCCAAGAGGATGCTTCGCAGGGATTTGGTTTTCTTGAACAGGTTGAGCCCCTGGGTGGCTGTTCTTTCCAGCACGCATGGTATCTACTTGCATCACCCATAGCAAGGGAAAAGACTGGTGGCCTAGTGGCAAGGACCTGAAACTACAATCCCAGAGGCACACAGTTCGAATCCACCAGATACTCGCCGGGGAAGGAGGGACAATTTCCTCCTGTACCAGTCAGACCTGATTTGACGGTACACTCACACAAAAATAATGAAGAAAAAAAAATTAAGAGTGGTGTGGAGGAAATACATACATGGCCTCGATTTTTGAGGCTACCAGCTGAGGTGAGGCTCTGGATGTGTGCTGAGGCTGGATGGACCCCCAACACGAGGAGGAAGAGCCGGGCAGCACAGGTGACAGGATCCAAGGAAGGAGGCGCGGATCGCGGAAGAGCATGTGCATGCATCCGCTGACGAGGACACTAATTTTCCCACTTTCAGTGCGGTTAGGGACTTGTCACCTTCAAGCTCTTACTTTATAATATAATCTAGGAAAACAACAGCCGTCAGATGAGCAAACGTACTACGCGCGGGTGGAGGCGCGGCCCCGGAAGTCCCGCCCAGCGGAAGTAGCCCGGAGGCTTTGGCGGAAATCGTCGGTGGCGTCGAGCTAGGTGGCGGCAAAGGGGTCAGAGGCACCTGTTCAGGCTCAGCCTCTTGCAAACGTGGTTTTTGCTCCAGCACCGCCGTCAGACCCGGCTTCTGCTTGCTAGCCACTCTGTGGAAGGTGGTCCGCCGTTGGCCACGTGTCCCGCCTCTGCTCCCACAGCGACTAGGATGCACACAGCCATCCAGCCCTTCACTCATTAGCTGACCCCCATGAGGTGTTCTCTTAAGCTTTGGGGAAGCGACTTTCCTGCGCAGGCTTAGTCCCCACAACAGCTGGTAGGAAAAACTAATTACTAGTTAGTTACACGCCTGGAGCCTGGCAGTGCCCAGCCCTGACTGATGCCCCGTGCACCTTGAGTGCTTTAAGGGCTCCCAGCTGCTTCTGATGCGCGGAAGCGCCGGGATACTCAGGTGACACCGTTTACCTAACGGTGGGGGGACCCCCGGTTCTGAGATCACCTGAGAGTAGTTAGTGGGTGAGGGGGCCCTGAAGACCCCGAGGGACCACCACTCTGCAGAGGAGGTCTAGCCCTGTAGGTGCTGAGCAAGGCCGGTGAGTATAGCCGAGCAGAAATCCTGGGAGCAGAGGTAGCCCGGCCTCCTTGGAAGCATTGTGGTTCCCCGGGCAAACTGGAAGGCGATGGTGAGGTTTTATGGAAGGGACTCGGATCTGCTCAACTGGGGAGCTTCGGTACTGCAGTGACCTCACTCCTGGCCCTCACAGGACGTGTCCTGGGTACGCATCCCTCAGTCCATGTAAACCACACTAACAGCGTCTGTATTACATTTACTTGCACACTTAATCTTCTCCCAATGAAGTTGCTGTGAGCTGGAAACTTTTACTTAAGAGGAAAATTTCGGCTGTGTATGATTCCAAGCCAGGTATATACTGTCAATAGTTCAGAGGTGAAATTTTCCGTGTTGCCAGGGATTTACACAGGGGGCAGAAGATGGCCATTTCCAATTAAATATAAACCGTACATCTTAATAAGCTTTTGATATTATTTTCCATTTGGTGTAAAAGTAATTCTCAGCTAATTTTCTTCCTGAAATCTGACTTTTAGTTAATATTGTTTTGGGGAATAGATTAAATGAAACTGATAAGTGGAATAAATTCTTCCTGATCCATGGAACAGACCGTTTTTGTGTGAACAGACTGAGAATACAGATGAAGAATTTTGAAACCTTGTTCGTGGCAGTTTGCATCTTTTCACTAAATTTCTTTGTGAGAACACTTAGTGACTGTTTTATTTGGCAGATGTTTTTGTTCTTAGGGATAGACCATTAATTTGAAATATAATTTTAATAATAACTTGAAAGTTATCACTTATCCTGAGCTATGGATATCCTTAAGCACTTAACTAGTCCGTACATGACTTGCACTAGCATTACTAGGTACTTGCTAAACTCTTAAAGTGTGAAATATTTTTTTTAAGTGGTGTAAGAAAACAATTAGAAGACACAAAGGGGGAGTATAAGGTAGTTTATTTCCTTAGTTTTTATTTAGAGATATTTAAAATTATACATTCTTCTTTTATTTTTTTCTATAATTATATTTTAT